TAAACTCCTCCACCTGGGGTAAGGACTTTCCTCCAACCTGAAGATAGCAAACCACCTCAAGTCAGAGGGATTTTTATATAATTATTATTATTAATAATAATAATAATAATAATAATTTATATTAGAGTGATTTCTGAAGGATCATGTGACTTTAAAGACTGGAGTAATGCAGCTGAAAATTCATCTTTAAATCACTATAATAAATGATTAAATTAAATTATAAACTACTTTTGAACAGTTATTTTAGTGTGCAATAATATTTCACAATTGTACAATGTGTACTGTATTTGTGATTAAATAAATGCTGCCTTGGTGAGCAGGAGAAGCTTATTTTAAAACATTTAAAATCCTACTTACCCTAAACTTTTGACCAGTAGTGTACTTTTTTCCTAGAGAGGCTAGAAAAATCCTGACGTTTATTATTATTATTTTTATTATTATGTTTGAATTTTGTATTTTTTAAATGGTCAACTTCTGACTGAGGAAAGTTGAATGTGCTGGCCAGGGGTTTCCGAAAACCATCGTTAGCCAAATAAGGTCGTTTTCCACCGAACATTTGCAAACTGCAGCTGTAGTTATAAACATAGTTCCTGGCTGTGTTCTATTCCCAGTTTTCCACCCCTATGCCCTATTCATTTAGAACATTCTAATATTTAAACTTTGAATGACTGAAAATAAAAAAGCATTAAAGTGATCACTCTTAGGTGTTTTTTTCTTTTAAAGTATTTTACAGTTCAGTTTTAGAGATCTCCCTTCGCAGTGCACTATGAAAACATTGATGTCATTTTGAACACAGCCCACAATCAGTGGCTCATGACGAAAGCTATAGGTGACCTATTATTTAAAAGCGGAATTTATGTTACGTCTCCAAAGCTTGTGAAAACAAAAAACATAGCATACGTTATCGCCTGTTGGTTAGAACACTTCTAAAGTGGTTTACATGTGTCAAACTGTAAAATCAAATAAATAAACAAACAATATCCTATCTAATAATAATAATAATCTTCATTATCATCATCATTATTATTACTAATATTATTATTAAATTAGTTTGTTTAATAATAATAATAATAATCCTCATTATCATCATCATTAATATTACTAATAATAATCCTCATTATCATCATCATTAATATTACTAATATTATAATTAAATTAGTTTGTTTAATAATAATAAAAATAAAAATAATAACAATCCTCATTATCATCATCATTAATATTACTAATATTATTATTAGATTAGTTTGTTTAATAATAATAATAATAATAATAATAATAATAATCCTCATTATCATCATCATTAATATTACTAATATTATTATTAATTAATAAACATGCATTTTAAAAATAGGTATTGTTTTCATATTTCTTTTTTCGAAATCTTTAGGAAATATTTTTGGTACAACTGTTTATGATGACCATCCGACAAGCTAATCCAGCTAAAAATTGTGTTTAAAAAGTTAATAAAATTCAGCATTTAAATATCTTAATTAAACATAAACTGAGGTGAGTAACTGCAAAAAGGCCAAATGTTTGAGAGAAAAAAAAGAATCACCCCTTTGACCAGGCTGGCTACAGGGCTACAGGCCTACAGGCCTGTATACAGGCACACAGGCACACACGCACGCACGCACGCGCGCACACGCACACACACACACACACACACACACACACACACAATTTCAATCTCAATCTCCTTCTCTTTCTTCCACATACACACAAGCACTCTCTCTTTCACACACACTCATACACACCAGCAGTGATATCTATCCTCTCCATTTCTGACATCATGAATCTTCTAGGGAAATCCTTCCTGATCTCCTTCATATGTCCCTCCGACATGCCTTCATACTGAAAATGGAAGAGTAGAGGGATTTTTGGGAGTGTCATATATGGCCAACACACAAACAAACACACTGATCTCTGAACACGAGCGGAGACTGATCTCACAGAATGCGCGTTTTTATTTTTTTAAAAATAAGTTTTACTTCCTGATACACAATTAACATGACGTCAGACAGCACGGCTTTCCCGAGAACCGTAAAATAACACACCACATTCAAACACACACACCCTGTGGCATTTGTAAAGTTCAGTCAGTCCTGTAGTCCTCCTGGGAATAACTGCGCATGCGCTCGAGCGGACAGACTGAAACACTCCGTCCTCTAGTGGCAGAACAACATACCATACTTGCATTTGTGTACGGTCAAAATTAACAGTCCACTAGTGAAACGTGATTGTTTCTAAGTTATTTCCTAATGCTGATTAACTTTTTTTCAACACATTTTTTAGAACATAAATGTTTAAATAAGTAATTTGCCATGATGACAGTACACAATATTTTGGTTATAATGCATGATAGTATTCAGCTTAAAGTGGCATTTAAAGGCTTAACTAGGTTAATTAAGTTAATTACATTTACGTCAAGTACGTTATGTTAAGTACATTTTACAAATAACACTACTGAAAGTAGTATTACAGTAATTTTACTGTTTTATTATACACAGCAACTACTGGATAATTGTTGCCAGTGAGTTACTGTTAATTTGACAATTTTTTATTTTTTTTTACAATGTATGGAGAATTTAGTTCATCAATTCAACTATAGCACATGTGTTTGGACTGTGGGGGAAACCAGAGCACCCTGAGAAAACCCACACCAACATGGGGAGAACATGCAAATTCCACACAGAAATGCCAACTGGCCCAGCCGGGCAGGGGCGGACTGGGACAAAAAATTCAGCCCTGGCACTGTAGCCACACCAGCCCAGTGAGCCCACATTACCACACACACCGACTCAGCCCCACCCACGGACATGCACATTCACTTATATTGGTGTACAGATGGTAAAATAATATAAGCAGTACCATATGTAATGGATATTTACGGTCTATTTCGGTCTATCTCTGACAATTAGCTTGTGTTGCACTTACAGTTTGTTTGACATTTTTAGCAGATTTTGATTACATCCGCTTAACCTCTGATTGGGTCAGCCCATCTGGAAACCAGCCAGCTATAATAATAATAATAATAATAATAATAATAATAATAGTAATAATAATAATAATACTATTATCATCATCATCATCATCATATTCACATCTTGCAAGAGATAAAAGCTGCGTGCATGTAAAAACAATACATATTAAAAAAATAATAATAAAATAAAACACCTACAGGCCCACATTTAAAAAATGGTCCGTCCCTTCTGGCATTTGCCAGAATTGCCAGATTCCCAATCCGCCCCTGCAGTTGGGACTCGAACCAGCAACCTTTTTGCTGTGAGGCCACAGTGCTAACCATGCTGATGCCTGGGTGATGAATGATACACATAACTATGCCCATGATTACACATTTAATTTTCAGTTAATTAAAACCATAGAAGTAGACATTTTACTTGCATTTAATATGCATTTTGGTCCACAACAATGTATCTGCCAAAGATTCAAACAGAAGTGAAGAAA